GACTGGGCAGGCTGCTCGTGCAGCTGCTGCTGCTCCTCAGACTACTGCAGGGTGCGGGCTGTGCCCAGCTGCTTCTCCTCGGATGGGGGCAGGGTGTGCAGGGCTGCCGCTCCTCAGACGTAGGTAGACTGCTCGTGCGGCTGCTGCTCCTTGGACAGGTTGTACTGCTCGCGTGGTTGCTGCTCCTCGGATGGGGAAGCAGGCCATTCACACAGCTGCTGCTCCTTGGACAGGGGCAGGCCACATGAGGCTGCTGCTCTTAGGCCTGAGGCAGGCTGCTCACAGGGCTGATGCTCCTTGGACAAGAGCGTGCTGCTCATGTGTCTGCTGCTCACTTGGTTGAAAAAATAATGTGAAAAGAAGTAGAAAATAAAGCAACAAACAATAAAAGGAGAACAAAGAAAAAACCAAAAAAAAGTGCAAAAACAAAAAAAGGGAAAACAAATAAAAAAGCAAAAAAAAAAAGCTAACAAAATAATAATAAAAAAAATAAAAATGAAAAATTGAAATGTCATTCCTTTGGCTGGCTTAAGATCCCAGTTTTCTGGAATGTCTGTGATTTTTTTTTTCCTGTTGCTGGGACTGAAAGCCCGTCTCTAGGCCAGACCCTGTTAACTCCCAGGGATTAATCAGATTTGTTTAATCCTTCATCCCATTCAGGGTGGAATCTGGGTGTGGCTGTATTCCTTGCCTGGGGCCTGGAGAGAGGAGTTATATCCTCAGGAGAAAATGGCTGCCCAAGTCCTGGGCTCAGGCGTGACTCAGCACTCAATTTGCTGTCACCTCTCCTGGATCCCCTTCTCTTCCCATCCTCTCCCCAGATTCCGCACCTTCTCCCGCTCTTCAGCATGGGTGAGTGTTTGTATCCAAAATGTCCTATGAACAGGGTTCAGTGAAAACAAACAAATGCCGGCTGCAGAAACGGGGAGGACTGATTCCCTGTAAGCTCCTCTCTTACCGGCACTATGTGGTCTGGTCAGTGCTTCAGGCTGCCCCCTTTAGGCATAGTCCTCCGTAATTACGGAACCCAGATCTCAAAACCCCCGGCACCAACAGTCCCGAGGATCTCCTTTCCAGTCAGGGGCTGTGCCTGTCCCAAGGGACGCGGCTGGGTGCCACGCAGTCTCCCTCTGGCCCTCTGGGCTCAGAGGTCTGGCAAACTTTCCTGCCCAGATCCCTGGTTTTTACCTTTCCAGGGGAACTCTGCCCTTCCCAGCTGCAAACTGTCTCACCAGCTGAGTATACTTCGGCAATTCGGGGCGGGTGTTATTAGTTTCAGCTGCTCATTCTATTTGCTCCAGGACAAGCCTTGGGATGTGTCCGCCTATTCCACCTCCATCTTGAGTTTATCCTCAAAGTGTTTTTTTTTTAAAAAAAATAATCCTTTTGCCGATACCGGTTTGGCTCAGTGGATAGAGCGTCGCCCTGCGGACTGAAGGGTCCTGGGTTCGATTCCGGCCAAGGGCATGTACCTGGGTTGCGGGCACATCCCCGGTGGGAGATGTGCAGGAGGCAGCTGATCGATGTTTCTAACTCTATCTCTCTCCCTTCCTCTCTGTAAAAAATCAATAAAATATATTAAAAAAAATCATCCTTTATTGTTTAAAGTATTACATATGTCCCCTTTTATCTCTCGATGCCCTCCAGCCCACCCCCACCTCCAGGCCTTCAGCACCCTATTGTCTGTGTCCATATATGCACATAATGTGTTTTAGGTAAGCTAAGTGTTATTTCGAGTCAAAAGTTAACAAAAAGTTATAAAGTAAAATAGTTACAGTAATCTAAGTTTTACTTATTAAAAATACTTTTTGCCAAACCAGCATGGCTCAGTAGTTGTTTTGACCTTTGAACCAGGCCAAGGTTTGATTCCCTGGTCAGGGCACATGCTCAGGATGCGGGATCAATCCCCAATGGGGAGCATGTAGGAGGCAGCCAATTAATGATTCTCTCTCCCTCCCGGAAATGAATAAAAATATTATTTAAAAAATATATTTAATAAATTTAGTTTAGCCTAAGTGCACAGTGTTTATAAAGTCTATAGTAATGCCCTCTAGATCTTCACATTCACTCACCACTCACCTACAGAACCTTCCAGTCCTGTAAGGTCCATTCACGGTTAAGTGACCTTTAAATGTATACCATTTTTTATCTTTTATACCGTATTTTTACTGTGCCTTTACCATGTTCAGATGTTTAAATATACAGGTTCCACTGTGCTACAAGTTCTTTCAGTACTCAGCACAATAACATGCTACATAAATTTGTAGTCTAGGAAAAGACTATACCAGGGGTGGGCAACCCTTGGCACATGTGCCAAACATGGCACGCCAGTAACTTTTGCTGGCACGCGAAACCCTCTCTTATAATCTTCCATTTACAATTGTTGTGAACATTTGAATGACTTAAATATTAAATTACAAGGAACTGGCAAGACACTTGATGTTATGTTTAGCTATATAAAGGCTTTTGAAAAGAAACTAGAAGTCTTGAAGAGGGATGTGGATGGTGAGAGATTTAGATATTTCCCAAACCTCAAGAGGCACATCAAAGACTTCCCAAGGGATGACAGAACAGACTGTCAATGCCTTTAAAAGCTGTTTTTAAACATCATTGAGTCAACTATTGAGCAGTTCTCAAGATTTACAAAATTCAGAGAACTGGAAGAGACAGCAAAACTCATGAGGTTTCCAGACAGCATGAAACTGGAGGAACTGAACTTACAAATGTTTTCATGGATAGACATGGCTGACTTTGAAATGCAGTTGATTGAATTTCAGAGTAGCTCAATTTGGAAGCAGAAATTTGACCTTAGAGTTGACTTGGAAAACATTGAAAAAAAGCGATTAGAGACAGGAGTACCAGAGAGAAGTGTCAAAAACAAACTATTGAGGACTTGGAATGCCATTGCAGAAAATGTTTTCTGTTTAAAAAACTTTGCAACAGCCTTACTCTCCATGTTTTAATCGATAGAGCGTCGGTCTGCGGACTCAAGGGTCCCAGGTTCGATTCTGGTCAAGGGCATGTACCTTGGCTGCGGGCACATCCCCAGTAGGGGGCGTGCAGGAGGCAGCTGGTCAATGTTTCTCGCTCATGAATGTTTCTCTCTATCCTCCCTTCCTCTCTGTGGAAAATTAATAAAATATATTTTAAAAAAACACAAAACTTTGCAACAGCATTACTCTCCATGTTTTCATCCACATACGCTTGTGAATCTTTGTTCTTAGTGATGAATTTTGTTAAGTCTCATAATAGGAGTAGCCTGACGGATGAAAGTAGTAGCTCGTGCATATCTCTGAAGGTCACGAAATATAACCCTGATGTAAAATCTGTCATCAGTGATGCAGCAGCAAAAGTCCCACTGATAATATCAAACGGAGTCATAAAGTTTTTTGTCGGACAATCAGTGTACATGTGTACATTAAAAAATAAATGTATTGCCGAAGCCGGTTTGGCTCAGTGGATAGAGCGTCGGCCTGCGGACTGAAAGGTCCCAGGTTCGATTCCAGTCAAGGGCATGTACCTGGGTTGCGGGCACATCCCCAGTGGGGGATGTGCAGGAGGCAGCTGATCGATGTTTCTCTCATCGATGTTTCTAACTATCTCTCTCTCTCCCTTCCTCTCTGTAAAAAATCAATAAAATATATTTAAAAAAAAAATAAATGTATTTCTCATCATATACTGTATTTTTGTCGCTCGAATGAATTTTATTATTTCTTAAGGTATTCTTTGTATACCTTAAGAGATATCAAGTAGGCATAACATGTTCTCAAAAAATTAGGGATGGCACACAGAAGAATTTTGAGTCAGATTTTGCTGGTTTTGGCACGCACTCACAAAAAAGTTGCCCACCCCTGGACTATACCATATAGTGTAGGTATGTAGTAGGCTATGCCATCTAGATTTGTGTAAGCCCACTCTATGTTTACACAATTACAAAATTGCCTGATAAAGAGACACATACTTTTATTCACATATCATGAAAAGTAATTAAGAACTTTGAAAGAATACATTCACCTACAAGTAAGAAGAAACCCCCAGTCTTCCAGGTAGGAAAAATGTGCTTATGCTCACATTTCACACATGAAAGGACCAGGTCAAAGCAGCCAGTGTACAATGCAGTGGAGAAACTAACTCCCATATCCTTCTTAGTGACTACACAATTGTAGATGTCACAAAGTGAATTAGGAACACACTATTTAGCTCTGTTGACAGTATAAGGTGTCTCCTATACAAATGAGATATTATATAATCTAAAGAGGGGAATTAGACATTATTCCAATATTAAAGTCTGAATCAGTTTCCTGGCTTACAGAAAAATGCTAACCCTGATGAATCATTGATGTGCGTCTTCTGAAAAAAAATGAATATGAAAGAGTTGATGGAAGTTCTGAGGATACTCTTAATTGGAAGTGGAAAATCCAGAAAATGATATAAACATTATCCTCAGGGGAACATCCCAGCTCTAGATTTTTGTCCTTATTATAGGTATTTCTTCTCACATCAAAGTCTATTAAGCAAATAGAAAAAAAACAAAAAGTAAAACTCCAAATATTAAGAGAATTCACATAAAACTATATCATTGCATAAACTTGCCTTATTCAACTATTCCAACTGTTTATGTGTATAAAGTTCTTATACTTGTCAACCAAAAGGGGAACTTTTGATAGAGTTACTAAGGTAGAGTATATATAATGAACTAGGGATTTACAGGTACTGCTACAAGACCAGTAGAAAAATCTCAATAAATACCACAGTCAAAATTCAATGGCCTCTTAGCACAAGCTAAATAAATATTATAACAAACTAATCCTAACTGCATATTAGAAGTAAACTTTGCCCAACCAGTGTGGCTGGGTGGTTGAGTGTAGACCTATAAATCATGTCATGGTTCAATTCCTGGTCAGGCCCCATGCCCGGGTTTTGGGCTTGATCCCCATTAGGGGATGTGCAGGAGGTAGCCAATTAATGATTATCATCATTGATGTTTCTCTCTCTCTCCCTTCCTCTCTGAAATCAATAAAAATATATATTTAAAAAAAAAAGAAATGTCTTTAACTCACCCATCAATCCCAATAGGATTCAACATGATAGTGGAACAGATAGGGAGAAACAGCAATTGGTTGCCTCCTGCATGCATCTGACCAGGGCAGGGGAAAATTGCAACCAAGGTATTGACTCTGACCAGAATCGAACCCAGGTCTCTTCAGTGTTCAGGCTGACCCTCTATCCACTGAGCCAACCTGGCTAGGGCTAAACATTTATTAATGACTTGTGCTGTTGTCTGGAACACTATTCTACACATGAATTTCCATTAAGCTTTCCTTATGAATTCTCTTGTGTTTCTAAGAAACTGTAAGGTCTGTAGGCTTTACCAAACTACTTACATTCATAGGATTTTTTCTCATGATTTCTTCAATGACTTTTAAAGGAAGAGGAATAGTTAAAGGCTTTACCACATTGCTCATATTCATATGATTTCTCTGCTGTGCAATTTAGTGTGTACTTTTAAGGTTTGGTAATATGAGAAGGCCTTTTCACATTCCTTACATTCAATGTTTCAAGTATGACTTCTTTCATGTTTCTCAAACCAAACAAAATATCTGAAGGCTTTACCACATTGTTTACATTCATAGAGTTCCTTCCCAGTGTGCAGTCTCATGTGCCGTTTTAAGGTTCCGTAACGATGAAAGCCTCTACCACATTCCTTGCATGTATAGTGTTTCTCTCCAGTATGAATTCTCTCATGTAATAGAAAGGAAGAGTGATAACTGAAGGCTTTCCCACATTCCTTACATTTATAAGGTTTCTCCCCAGTATGAGTTTTTTCATGACTTTGGTAAGAACTGGAACAATTGAAAGCTTTACCACATTGCTTACATTCATACGGTTTCTCTCCTGTGTGAATTTTTTTATGTTTTTGGAAGCCTTGAAGATATCTAAAGATTTTTCCACATTGTTTACATTGATACCATTTCTCTCCAGTATGAATCTGTTCATGTTTGTGAACAAACTGGGGATGCCTAAAGGATTCCCCACATTCCTTACATTTGTAAGATTTCTCTACACGTTTATAAAAAAAATGGCGATAACTGGTTTTACCACATGTCCTAAATGTATAAGGCTTCTCTCTGTATTTGTCACATTCATATGGTTTGTGTCCAGTGTGACATCTGATGTGCCTATCAAGGGGTGAATGATGCATAAAGACTTTTCCACATGTACTGCATTCATGTGGTTTCACTGCAGTGGTCTTCTTGTTCAAAGTCATTTCTGAAATAAGATTGGAGTTGTCTTCACATTGACTACCCTCTTTAGTTTCACAGAGTCTCTCCGCCATATGATTTCTGTAAAAAACAAGAAGTACGGTATTAATGATTTCTTTATTAGCAATTTTGTTTATTACAGTATTTGGACTGCATTTTTATGGTTTGTATCAAAGGGGTAGGGTTTTTGCCCTGGCAAGACTGGTTCAGTTGGTTGGAGTGTGTGCAGGAGGCAACTGATTGATGTTTCTCTCTCTCTCTAAAATCACTAATAATAAGTTAGGAAGGGGTAGGTTTTCTGCTTTGATTTGTTTAAAGTTCAATATAAGAAATGTTCTCAATGGGGTTAGAAGGGAGACATATGTAATACTTTCAACAATAAAGAATTGAAAAATGAAACAATGTTCTGCAAGAGGATTTCACCCTTCCTATTACTAAAACAGCAATAATCATAAACAAAATTTAACAATACTGTTTTGAAGTAAGCTACTTCACAAACACTGAACATACATGTCTAATAAAAAGGTAATTTTGGTGAAAATGTTCTGTAAGTAAAAACTGAAGCAGGGATTATTTCCTTTTGAAAAAATTTCATGACATAATCAAATCTTCAAATCAGCCACTACTTTCTATTATAAATAGGACTCACCTTAGTTTTCTCCCCTGGTTTTTATACAATTCTTCAATGTCATGATCATCCCATTTCTTCCCTGAAATGCAAACAAAACAAATTCAAAATATTTATATTAGAGAAATATTAGATTATTGGTCCATTTTTTTTCTAGCTGTGACCATGCCTAGTTTATTTACCAATGTCCTATCTTTTCACAATCCAAATCTTGGGGGGAAAAAAGCAATGACCAAGAAACACGGACCTATAATTGATGAAATGAAAATACATCCTTACCTATTGAGGCCAGGTTCTTGAAAGTTTGTCGCATTACATCTCTGTAAAGTTTCTTCTGTGAAGAATCCAATAAGGCCCACTCTTCTAGGGTGAAGGTTACAACCACATCCTCAATGGCCACTGAGTCCTAAAACATCCCAAATATGTATTAGGATGTGTGAGACTGACAGCCCTGGACACCCAGACTCCATTTATAGGAAGGTTACATATGATTCTGTTGTCTCCAAATATTTATTCTATGACTGATCATCCTAAATTTACTCCCTTGTCCACTTACTTCATGGAAATTATTTGTGCACTTTAACTGTTATAACATTACATGTTACTGCTCTGCAACGGCAGAGTTCACAGCATGTTGAGAAATAACAGAATGCTTTAAAAACACACACACATACATATATATTTTTACTTTTTGTAATTGTGATTTGCATGTTACTGCTCTGCAACGGCAGAGTTCACAGCATGTTGCGAAATAACAGAATGCTTTAAAAACACACATACACACACACATATATTTTTTTACTTTTTGTAATTGTGATTTGCATTTTAAAAAATATATTATTACTTTCAGAGAGGAAGAGAGAGTGATAAAAACATCAATGATGAGAATCATCAATCGGCTACCACCTAAACACTCCTCCACCCCTCAGCCCATTGGGGATCAAGGCCACAAACCAGGCATGTGCTCATGTGCCTTGACTGGGGATGGAACTGTGACCACCTGGTTCATAGGTTGACACTTAACCACTGAGCCACACCAGCCATACCAAATACTATCATTTTAAGACCATCAATACTTTGTGAGAAAAGCTTTTATTCCTTTCCTTATACAGTTCTCCACTGTATAAGGCAGAATTTAATCAATAAAAACAAAATGAAGAACTAGACTCTTTTTCTTCCATTCCCATCACCACACATGAGAGTCCACGAAAGCTGTGGAAATACAACTTTTAATGAAGTCCAGCTGGCTATATTGTCCCTAAAGTACTCCAGGGCTTTAGTAGTCAATGCAGCTGGCAGAATGAAAACATTCTTGTTGGGAAGTATTGCTTGTAACTTGTTAAATATTCATCACAGATCTCTCTGTACGCTTTGATCACCTTTTCTATGAACCTAGAACTGCTTTTTAAAAAAGCACATTAGGGGGAAAAAAGGACAGATTTGTTACAATTCACCTGATGACTGACTTGGATGAAACACACCATGTATCATTCAACTGATTTAAACTTATTTCAACAACCTAGCATGATACTCTATGAGCCTGAGACCAGTAAGGGAGGTAAAATTCCCATGGAACACCTTGTTGGAGAACCTAGGACTGTACATTCTGAGAAATGCCATGGTTACTATCAGTGTCTGGAACTCCAACATGGATCAGCAGTTTCCTGGTGAGTCCTGATAGTGCAGACTTAGTAATAATGTACAGACAAGTGTTGCCTGGCTTTATATTTTGGGTATCTGATTAAAGACATTCCCAGAGTTCTTTTACCACAAAGGGGCAACTCTTAGACAAGTCCAAGAGTCTGTGAACATATGCAGATGGGGCCAATGTGGACTAGTAGTAAGGCAACTGCTTGATGCTTGGTTAGAGGTGGTGACTCTTGGGGTTTGTTCCACTATCAGAAATGAACCAATTGAACAACAACTTTCCACTAAGATCCATCATTTATTTATGTGTATTCTCATCCTGAAAGCGTGTGCAAGTCCCCAGTGCTGTCCACTCAGTGAATCCCAATACCACAATCTCCTTCAATGGACTGAATATAGAAGGGGCAACCATCCTGCAGGTGGCATAAGCCATAGAAGCAAGATATCAGTAGGTGTCCATACCTGGTGTGGTACTGTTTTCTAGCCTAAAGCACAATGGCCAGCTCAGTTTAGGATCACATGCTCAGTCTTTATGAGTACCTCTATGACAAGAGGTCCTCATACATGATGATTATAATTCTAATGGCATATAGTGGGTGGCCTAGGGCAGGTTCTTGCATCAGAAGCAAATGGATAACTTAAGACCTTCATAATTAACTCCAGGAGGCATGAAAGACCATTACTAAAGCTTCTACAATGAAGGAGACTCCAAGGTCACTAGTAGGAGTGCCAATTGTATGGTAATTTAAGTAGTCTAGAACCTTCTGTGCCAGCAACAACATAAATAGGCTAAAGTGAATTGGTAAAGAAGGAAATTGTGGCTTCCCCAAATCAAGCAGATATTGTGGTTGCTGAGAGGGACTGTGACTATTTCTTAGTGTCAAGTAGGCATGAAGTACTCAAGGTAATAAAAAGCAAGGTTCTGAACCAAGATTACTATATCCAGCAAGGCTATCATTTAAAATAGATGGTGAATAAAGAGCTTCTCAGGCAGCCCTAGCCGGTTTGGCTCAGTAGACTGAGTATTGGCCTGTGGACTGAAAGGTCCCGAGTTCAATTCCGGTCAGGGGCACATGCCTGGGTTGCGGGCTCGATCCCCAGTAGGAGGTGTGCAGGAGGCAGCCAATCAATGATTCTCTCTCATCATTGATGTTTCTATTTCTCCTCCCTTCCTCTTAGAAATCAATAAAAATATTTTTTAAAATGGCAATAAATAAGTACCTAGCAATAACAGCTTTACATGTAAATGGACTAAATGCTCCAATCAAAAAATATAAGGTAGCTAAATGGATACAAAATCATGACCCAACTATATGCTATCTGCAAGAGACCCACCTCAGAACAAAAGACTCACACAAGATGAGAGTGAAGGGATGGAAAAAAAATTTTCCATGCAAATACTTGTTTACACTGTTCTTGTGAGTTTCACTTGTTTTTGTTCTTGTTGCACTTCCCTCAGCCCATTAGCTTCCCAGGTAAGATCTAGGGAGCGTCATAAGGTCAAGCCTAATTATGCTAAGAGGACTGTGCCCTCTAAGCTGGGACTTGTTTGTGACTTTGCCAACAGGTCAGTCTGAGGTTTAACCCTATGCGGCTCCCCACATGCAAATACTGTCACAGTAGGGGACTTTAACAACCTGCTGACTTCACTGGATAATCTTCCAGACAAAAAATTAACAAGGAAACAATGACTCTAAAGGACACACTGGGTCATGTGGACTTAATTGACATTTATAGAACATTTCACCCCAAAGCTGCAGAATATACATTCTTCTCAAGTGCATATGGGTCATTCACAAAAATAGATCACGTGTTAGGACACAAAACAAGTCTCTAAAAGTTCAAGAAGATTGAGATTATATCAAGCATCTTCTCAGATCATACTGGAATGAAATTAGAAATCAACTACAGTAAAAACACTCAAACACATGGAGGTTAAATAGCATGTTATTAAACAATTAATGAATGGGTTACCAATGAGATCAAGAAAGAAATAAAAAACTTCCTGGAAACAAATGAAAATGAACACTCGACAACCCAAAATCTCTGGCACACAGCAAAAGCAGTCCTGAGAAGGACGTTCATAGCACTACCTCAGAAAACAAGAAAAATTAATAATAAACTATTCAACCCCACAACTTAAAGAACTAGAAAGAGAGCATATAAACATAACCAATGGACATAAGACACTGGGGGGTAGGAGAGGCCAGGGGATTGTCATGGGCAGGAAAAAAAGGAGACATATGTAATACTCTTTGTAATACTTTAAGCAATAAAACAATTAAAAAAAAAAAAGAACTAGAAGAGAACAAGAAAATCCAGAGTAAGTAGAAGGAAGAAAATAATAAAGATTAGAGCAAAAATGAGTGACATAGAGACTAAAAAAAACAATATTAAAAAAAAAAAATCAATGAAACCAAGAGCTGGTTCTTTGAAAGGATAAATAAGATTGATGGAGCCGTAACTAGTTTGGCTCAGTGGATAGAGTGTCGACCTGCGGACTGAAAGGTCCCAGGTTCGATTCCAGTCAAGGGCATGTACCTTGGTTGCGGGCACATCTCCAGTAGGGAGTG